TTGGCAAAATTTCGTCTTGGCAAAAAAGTGACAAATGGAAGCCGGCATGCGACAAATTTGCGAGCCCACAAATGCGTCAGGGAAGGAGCGTTCCTGATTTGAAAGTCAATGATCGTGAGTCCAATGCATGGTTTCCACTGGCTCATACATTCTCGATTATTTTGTATCCCTGAAGAATAATGGGGTGTGTTGATTTGTGTCGTTCGGGAAATTAACTAAGAACTATTCATAAGGGGTGATCGAAAGGTAAACTCCGCGGTAAGCGAGGTACTCGTTCGTGGTAAAGGTGACCGTGGCCGACGAGCCATTAATAGTGAAGGAGGGCCCTTGGCCCCCGTTTCCACCCGTCACACTAAAATGTTTCAAAATACAAGAGAAGATGGTGGTTAAATTCGTTTTCTCCATACCAAGCGGATTACCTTCCTTGCTCTGTTCCCTCCGAGTCAAAAAATCGAATATAATCCTTTTCCATTTCAAGTTCGTACTGAGCCACGTCGATGTGGATGGTTTTGGTGCTTTCTGAATTACAAACAATGTTTTTTGAGATAGCCCTTTGGTCATTTCATTTGATGTGCCCTGGCAAGCCGTGGTTAGCCAAACACTATTTTTTCGATTCGGAAGCAGCCTAGGCGCCTACTGGATGGTCAATGATGGTCAACGTCGATGCTTGATTGTTGCAGTAGTTGGCTGACGATCCCCTAAAAAGCGGTGGCCAGTAGTACGATGAGATTCGTCCATTCAGTAAAGCGTTTCGCTCCTCCGCCTCCGCATCCAAATCTCGGATCTGATGAAAAGGCATAAACAAATCATACTCCAGGAACTTTGCTACGCGAAGATGAAGACAAACCAGTATCCCCGGTTAAGATATAGTTGTTGTAGAGATTAAAGGGATTCGCCGGGTCATACGGCAGGTAAGCCACGTTAGGATAGTATGCTGACAAGGCTCGAAAGTCGACGGAGGGCGTCGCCCGGAACCAATGAAAAACAACATGTACATCCGGGTTTCTTTGATCCGAAATGAGTTTGCTCAAGCCGGCGATATCATCCGGCCTGCAGTTGGTTTTGGAATTGTTGCCGATCTGTTACTAACTCATGTTGCGTAAAGATAGCATAGATCAGTTGGACATTCTTTCGCGAGCTTGCTCCATAGCTTGAATTTGTGGAAAACGATCCATTCAGGTTGAGGAAAGTAGAAAGAGCGCTGAAAGTATGCTTTGTTGCTAGACGCGTCCGAACCTCGTATAATTGGCCGTTGGGCTACCAGTCGGCATCTGATCGAGGGCGGACATGACGTCAGAAACGGATGCAGACCTGAAAAAAACAAGTCATGCGATGGTGGTCTTTTTTGTGATGATATTATTCGGTTTTTAGAAGTCTCATGCCTAGCCGGGACAAATGAGAATTACAGGGCGTCTCAAAAAATCACACACCCCACTCTAGCCGGTCGCAGATATGCCCGATCTTGGCGTTTGAGGTATCTATCGAAAGATCTCGGAAAGGCGAGTCCGGCAATTTTTCCAACTTTGATCAATATTCTTGCTCAAAATGCGGATTTTCGAATGTTTTTCTGATCAAAGGGTTTTTAAGAAAACCAATTTAAAGATTTTTACACCTTTCTTTTTTTTACACCTCATAACGCTTACACCGGTTAAATTGAGTTTTTGACAAAAAGCGTTCCTTGTTGCGTGAAAGATGGCGAGAATCGAGCAAGAAAAACTCCCAAATTTCGCAAATCGAATCGACGAAAGCTTACGCCTTTTCGAGCGCTTTTGAAAGATACCTAAATCGTAAAATCGGACACGTCTGCGGGGGGTAATTTTTTGGGACACCCTGTCGAGCTAGAAGGCTAACAATTTAGGGAAATAACACCACATAGTCTCAAAGACTTTGTCACTACTATAGCTTCTTCAAGCGCACGAACCATGGCTCAAACATGTTATTGGCCCCAGTCCCATTAGCGGAAAGGTACTGCAGCGACAGCCGGGCACCATAAACTTTTTTCGGATCCTGGTGGACGCTCAGCTCGCTGATGGTCATTTTGATCGTGTTTTTCATCTGAACCTATAATCCAAGCGCTAAGGGTCATTCAATTACCGCAGTAAAGGCCTCCTCATCATCGCCGGCGAGGTCGATAACAATACCCAAATCCACGCCCAAATTTCCTGCGCGTGCGAGGGTGGCGGGTAGGTAGCACCCTGAGAGAAAGTCGATGTTTCAAAACATCCCAAGTACCGTAACCGGGGTCCTGGTTGGCTCTAGATCACGCCAGAATGCATACATATTAAACGAAACTAAATGGTTGTCTTTTGTAGATTGAGGGTTTCTAGAACCCACCATTCAGATCACCATTATATGCTAGCTCAATGGTGACCGATGAAGTCCTGCTTACGAATGCAGCCAATGCGTCAGTGAAGAAGTGGTAATTGGCGCGCGTCAAGCTACAAACTGCTGCTACTTTTGGGAACTGAACACAAATACGTTTCTGCTTTAAAGGTGAACTCGGCGTGCCAAAATTCCGCGCGGCGCGTGAAATGGGGAACCCTGATACGTATAATCGATCATTAAAACACCAACTATTTTGAATTTTGAATGTGGATTTTAGAAATGAGCTTAGAATCTGCAAATTACAGTAAGCTTTCACAATGAAACCTGGCACAACCATTTTTGCGCAAAAACCGAAAGAATCAGGCCTTGTCCCTCAATGCGGTCGCTGTGGCAATCTCAAGTTAGAAACCAAGCACTCTCCCAAAGGGCTATGATTTAGATTGTGCCCTTTAAGAAATTTAATAGCGCCTCATTGCATCTGGGACAAAAAAAAGCATACCTACGCATACAAAGTAAAAACCCCTACGCAACTTGTGGATTGTCTCCGTCGCGAATTGTCACGGTAAAGCGGCTGCCTGTTTTGACAAATTCGTTAATCACAAAACCCGAAAACAAAGAAGCTTTAAGGGAAATACAGTAGTAACCCCAACACCCCTCGCCGGGTTGTTCTGGTTGATGACGATGAGGCATTTCTGGCGGGAGAGCAATTTCGAAGGTTTCATCATCGTACGCTCCATTGATGACAAACGAGGGTACAGTACGGTGTAATTGCGAGAGCAAACGCATTTTGATGCGACGGCTGACGCTTGAATGGGCTGGAAATCGAGAAACATGAAATGACTACCGTACCCAGCGCCAGTAGAAGCGCAGCCTTCAGAAGCATGGCAAGACAAGCCAGCCTGCTTCAAGACCGTGCAATGACCCCCAACTTTATACTGTCCTGCCAAAAACGATTCTGCTAAATGCAGCAAAATTAGCTCATAAAGTGCGCTTTTCGGTGATAACCGTCTGAAAATGACCTAGACGCAAGCACAATCTGGATTGTCACGGCGCCATTCGACGGACCGGAGTACGTAAAATAGCCGTTTACGATTCACCGTAACCGGCTTATCGCGACAAAAATTAATTGCGGATCTTCCGATGGCTCCGTTTTACGGCTAGGCTATAGTTCGTGATAGCAAATGTCTGCAGCTGAAGAAACGCTCCCTGGATTTTTCCTCAAAATGGTGCGATTTTCACCTTTTGAATCATGCAGTCATACTTGGGATTAAATTTTCTTAATCTCTCGAAAAGGTAAATCGCTAATGAAGCCTGATGCAACTTCATGAAATTTGTCGAGAAATGTAATTGTATTTGATTACAGTAGACCTTACTGCAGCCCGGCTAGTTACGTAGCTCAAAGCCCTCAAAATTAAAAATATTATCTTCAATGTTGTTGTAATAATGCACTCGAAACTATTTTCTTTATTTGTGATTCGAATCGTCTTCAGCCCGTTCATGGAAGGTTGCATTGGGGTGGCTCATCACTGATCGCCCGCACCCCGAATCTAATCCCGCTGTAGACGAGGTATTCGTTTGTCGTCAGCCTGGCCGAACCGGCGGTGCCGTTTATCTGGAATTCCGCGCCGAAGACGTTGTTGCCGGTCAAACTGAAATGTTAGCATCAATATCGTTAGGTCCCGGAAGGCAGAAAACTCAAAAGCGGCCCATATGAATACGGCCGTAAAACTTACAAGGCCACCTCAACCCCGGCACCATCATAGAACCTCACATAGTCCTTCTCGAGCTCCAACTGATAGTTTTCGACGGTGATGCATAGCGCTGTCGTACCAATCTAGACCGTGCGTGTTCGAACCGGGTTAATTCCAAAATATCGAAAATGATAATGTGAAACTTATATAATGCCGAAATTTTCCGGTAATACTCCCAAATCCTATGCGAAAAATATGGAGAATAA